CCGACATGGCTCCCATTGACATGCTCATTATAAGGAGACAAAAGAGGAGCTGGATGAGAGATCTCTGAATTACGGAAGCAAACCAAGACCACGGTGCCGCTGGGCACTATCATTCTTCATCCTTGCCATGCCATTAGCATCTATATTCCCATCAAATCTGCTGATTGTCACTGTCATGACAGGTGCTGATGTAGATATGAAGAGAAAAAAAAATTTGGTTGAGGATATTAATTCGCAAAAACATGGCTGACAAAAACATACACTATATTTCACATACCGGAAATCTTTTTGTCATTAGAGACCGCAGTAAGGTTAGGCAGCGCTAATGGAGACCGCAAAAATGTTCATATATATATATATATATATATATATATATATATATATATATATATATATATATATATATATATATATATATATATACATATATTTCATATTATTAATTCCATCTTGTTGATGTTTTCAATTCTATCGTATGGTCTTAAGCACACTCCTAGTGTGCCACTAGTGTTTTTACTTTCTATTACTTTACTATACTAAGGTAAGGAAAATATTACAATCGGGTCAAATTTCCGACATGCAGTTTTCGACGGATCTATACGTTTCAGAGCCCCCATGAGTCCGAAAAACACATTTTTAGCCATTGGTCTGTCTGTCTGTCTGTGCCGATATTTTCTGGGAAACTACTGAAACGATTTTGTTGCTTCTTTTTTTTTTTTTTTTTTTTTTTTTTTTGTAGGGTTTTGACTGCTGATGCCTGTGTCAGAAATTCGGTGCTCCATGCGCAATAGCTTGCTTGGAAAATGTATCTAGTTCAATTCTTTTTTGTTTCTTCATGAACATATGTAAAGATATAAAAACTTTTCTGAAATAGGTAGGAAAGTCGTGTGAGTGGACACACCAGATATTTTTATTATTAATATATTTAAACTATACATCCTTTTTTCCTCATTTTTTGTTTTTAGTATTAATTTTTTCAAATTGCGTTGTTTTGACCTTATAGGTTTGAAATAATACTTTTCACATTGTTCAGGAACCTTCTCCTCCATTTTATAAATTACCCATCAAATATAGTTATTTTTTTGTTATAGTATTTTTTTATAATTACATAAAACGATAAGCAATTTCGATAATTGGTTTCTCGATGTCACACTTTATGAACGATATGATACTTTAAAAAAAAAAACTTAATTTTTATTAGAACGAATCAATATACTCTGAGAGTTTCTGATGAACACTATATTATAAAAAAATAACATAAAGTTTTTGGTTTACTTTCTATTTATTATAATGAATGTCAATTTGATTAGGTTTGTAAGAAGGAAAAACAGCGGTGGGGTTAAAATAAAATACTTGAGTTTTCAAGATCCATTACTGAGAAGCTGCTGGCTAAAAGGGTCACTAACCAAAGAGAACTTTGCCCATTTCTTTCTTTTTTTTTATTTTATAAAATTTAAAAGAATTCGTCGTCATTACTCTGTAATATATAAAGGGCCAAAAACCTAGAAATTAATTGTTACTAAACCGTACTTTTATATATATATATTGCATTTGGATTATACATGGATTATAAGAATATACAACATGGATATAGATTATATTCATTATATTATATATGATGATTGCATGCTAAATACATGTGAACAACTTAGTAACATCAGAGAATTATGCGAAAAAAAATAAATGAACACTCAAACTGATTTGACTGGTTTGCTTTCGATCTAAAGGCTTTATAATTAGTTTTCTACCAACACCGTTATATTTTAAATTATTAAAAGAACAGTTAAACTACTTTCGCATAAACGATTTTTCTTACCCCCAGCGGTATTAACATACATTAGTTTTGTTCCTAATCTGGTCAAGATATAGCGGCATATATTTTTTTGTTCAAAAATTCTTCTTACGTTGAATCTAAATCATCGATTTATTGTAACCCATCCAGTTAAATTTCATCAAATAAAATCATTAAGTACTTTGATAAATGTTTCTTTTTTCGTACTTCTTTTTGTAACAACACAGCATACATGGTCAACAACACAGCATGGAGTCCAAACTCTGGGAGTGGGGGGGGGAGGTGATTTTAGACAGAATTTCCAACAAAAAAGTTACTTTGATGGATGTTCCGATTCCGAACAAAAAAGCAGTTAAAACTAATCTAAATGTGGTCACGTTTTTTGCTTTCTAGGTAAGGAAAGTATTGCAATCGGCTAATATTTCCGTTATGCGGTTTTCGACGGATCTAAACGTTTCAGAGCCTCCTGAGTATGAAAAACACATTTTTAGCCATTAGTCGATATGTCTGTCTGTCTGTGCCAAGATTTTCTGGGGAACTACTGAACCGATTCTGTTGCTTCATTTTTTATTTTGTAGGGTTTTGAATACTAAAGACTGTGACAGAAATTCGGTGCTCCATGCGCTATAGCTTGCGTGCAATTACTGAAAAACATGTTCTTCTATTGACTGTAGCCCGGAAACTAACGATTTTGATGAAACTTTCCTATAATGTTCTAATCATTGTTCTTACAATTTTCGTATATAGACTAAATTCCCGAAAAAAATGAAGAAAAAAAGTTATAAAGAAAAGAAAAATGTTATGGGGCCTAACTCCCTAAGTATATATTGTACGGTAAAATTCATAATAGATAATAATAATAATAATAAATGAAATTCCCTACAAAGCCATATAATAATCGTTCATTTTATAAAACTATTTACCAAGTTACAGGTATTCAATTTCCAATGTAAGATTACGCGTTCATATCCTGGTGTCAGAAAGGGATGAAAGAGAGAATAAAGATGACTAAGTGAAAGTAAGAAAATCTGTTACCGGTATCACACAATCTTCACTATTACCTCTACTTTTAACAGAAATTATTGTTTGACAATACGAAGCTGTGGCAAAAAGTTTTTCATCAGCAATATTAGTGAAAATTGAAATGTTTACACTTATCTACCTTAAGCCAGTTTGCATTGTTTTAGTTTATCCTCCAATAAATCGTATTCAAATATTTTGTTTGATCAATTTTCAGGAAAATAAATCTAGTTCAATTCTTTTTTGTTTCTTCATTAACATATGTAAAGATATAAAAACTTTTCTGAAATAGGTAGGAAAGTCGTGTGAGTGGGCACACCAGATTTTTTTTTTTTATAGTCTTGATAATGTAGTGGATAGCGTAATATACTGATAGGTTCTCGGTTCAAAATTGGTTCCACTATATTCTTTTGGGCGGCGGGGTGGCCGAGCTGGCTAATACGTGTGCACAGCAACTAATGCGCGTTGCCCAGCAACCTGATAACTAAATTAAGACGGAAAAATAGTACGAGTTCAAATCCCTGTATCCGATGGGAATTGTAACTCGTCATAATTCCCCGCCCTCTCTCCCGTGTATTCTAACTAAAAAGACAAGGAATAGGAAAGAAAAAAAAAAAAAAAAAGTCAATGACAAAATGGACATTAAGGAGTTCTAATACGGCTGCTGTACTGCTGCAATTAGAGTACCCATATAATGTCTTTACAGCTACCGTATTAAACTTTCTGGAAGTCCTTTTTATTATTGACCTCAGTAAATTTAATCACTGTTTTCTCAACAAAAGAAAATTGTCTACTTTACGATGGTGTATTTAGAACTTTATTATCTCAACAGTTTTTAAGCTATACTGGCCCATGCATCTAATTAATTTTTTTATCATTCCCCAACTATATCAGAGATAACCCACTTTTAGTAAAACTTGCTCGTTGATCAGGTCCATATTACTTAAATTGAGGTTTATTATGGAAAAAGTTTAGATTCGCCTTGAATTGTATAAAATAATTAAGTGATTTTATATCCCATCACCTAAAAATACTCTAAAATAAAATTATTTTATTTCTTGTTTTTCTATGAACTGGGATGTATTATAATAAAATAAAAAAATTGCCAAAATATACTTTTTATTTAAAAAAAAAAAACACTGTAAATTATTTCACAGTGGTTTATTATTTCCAAACAATTATACATCTAAAGTAACATTACCTTCCAAGTTACAAAGAACAAAAACAAAACAAAAGGTGATTCCAATTATTAGACTAAACTGTTTTTCTTTAATAATTAGTGATATGCAAAAAAAAATAGCATTTGTTCAGTAACAAGCTCAAAATTTAAACCAAACAAAGGATATAACATTTGGAGTAGAACATATAAAAAAAAAACCGGAGACCATATCTTTACTCCTAATTGTCCGATTTTAACGATTTATTTTTTGTTTTTTTAGGAAATTTCGTAAACTTTTAAAAACACTATATACAATATAAACAAAAAAGTAAAAACTTTTCGAGTTATTCGGAATTTAATTTTACCTTCTCTCGTAACTTTTTGTCCAGCTTCTTTTCCTTGAAGTATGTTGTATAGATAAATTTAAAGGGCGTCGAGAAAATGACTTTAGCAAAGTTTCATTGAAATCTGTACATTCGTTTAGGAGCTACAGTCTATAGCAACGCAGGTTTTTCGGCCGCCATTTTGAAAGTTAAAGGCGGAGAGTAATGTCGATGAAGGAGGATCATCCTCGGGTGACCTCTGATATTATATCAAAATTTGAAAAAAAAGCGGTCCAGTAGTTTCGGAGAAAATGCGCGGACGGCGGACGGACAAAAATTTTTTTATTCGTTTTTCGAATTCTACGCGTCCTGAAACGTAAAATTTTTTGGTCGATCACAATGGTTGATTATTGAAAATAATAAACCAAAATGGTAAAAGTAATTGTTTTTTAAATATTTTTAAAGTGATTATTAAACCGTGTTTTTCATCCAGAACACTATTATAGAAATAATCCGCATTTATAAGGAACGGGTTAATCTTGAAACGGATAGGAATTATTTTTCTCTCATTGTCTGATATAGATGCTTTGATTTGTAAGTTATCTTTCTATTAAGTATAGAAATCGGCGTGAAAAACTTTCTCACTTTAATTCGTTTTCCGTCTTTTAACAAGCTGAAGTAGTCAACTTTGTTGTATTTGCTTCAGGTTTCAATTAGGGGAAATTCCAGTGTCCAAGTTGAACGGATTCTGTAGCGACGGGAAAGTCACCATTGAATCCTTGGAAGAAGGAATAATGAAACCGAAGACTGCTAAGGTCTCATTTAATTGGATGAAACGTTTTGAAGAGAAGGCGATGGGTCTACTAAAGCAATTCAAAGTTGGACAATGGATATCGGCTAATTCATCCTCAGGCCAAAATAATTGGCCATTGTCGTCCCATCGCCTCTTGTTGGGATATCTCGTCTTTTGTAGGATATCCTAGCCAACTCTTGTTCTAATAAAAGAGGGAGGGGCTGTTTCTGTCTCGCCCCCTCTTCCCGATATCTGTGAAGTAGCCTTTTTGAATTATTAAACCGTCCTCAATGTTTAGGAGATGTCTTTTCTCTGGGGCGTTACTTTTTAAAGAGCTGTGTCGTTTGAACTCCCTAACTGAACGGCGACGAATTGACGCATTATTTATTCAGTTGTATTTCAATAAAACAAGGCGGTAAAGGCCAAGTCTGAAAGTGTTCTTGTTTTGAAACTCTTTGAGAAATATAATCTTTCGTAATTTCAGCTTAATTAAAAAAAAAAAATAATTGATTGTTACATGATCTATACAGCGAAGACACGGAAACTATAAAACAAAATACGACAATTTTAATGAAAGCGGGTAAAGAACTAGGGCTCGAAATAATTACGAAAAAGACAAAATATACGGTTAGCTGAAAAAATGGCAATACTGTTGGTGATATCTATATAGAAGGTCACGCCGATTTGGATGTATCTTCAACGAATGTTTTTATATGAAATTTATTATAGAGGAAAACAAAAATTAATAAATTACCCCAACTGGGGATAAGTTGTCACTGCCTATATCGGGAATCTAGATGATGAAAAAATGAATATATACTCATTTATTAAAAGAGTGATCAACAATATTTTAGGAGTAATCAGTCAAATAAATCGGATAATTCTAACGAATTAATAAAACATAAGATTATTTTTTTATAAAAGTAATTATTTATAATTACTTCACATCTCTAAGTTTTACTTTCACGTTATACAGTATCTCACTTTGCATTAAACAGCTGATGTAGCTAAGCAGTCTTAATAATTATGAACATAATCAGGTGTGCCCATCGCCCCCTTCAACGTCAATATCACGAAAAACCTACCTCTCCTCTAAGATATTTTATACTTCACCTTTTCTTAAGGAAAAAAACAAGCGAAGATAGAATTAAAAAAATCGCAGATCATATACAATCACTACATATACAAGATAAATAGAAGAAATGAAATTGAAGGTTAGGCTGAAGGCGGGAAATGCCTGTTATTTTTCTGTGACAAAACTACTTAGCTCCTCTTGTTCCGAAACCTAAAAATTATCTTGCCTACCGTTCTTTATGAACGCGAAACGTTGCCGCTTATATTAAGGGATGAGAAACGTATTAAGGTTTTTGAAAATAAAGTATTGCCTAGTAGAATGTTCGGACCGAAGAAGGATGAGTTAACCGGAGAGTTCAGACGCCGAATTACGTGAACTGTTTCCGGTTAATATAATTGAGGTGATTACATCACGGCGAATCAAATAGGCTTTGTAAAACTGTTGGGCTTACTAATGAAAGAATTCCTATAAGTTAATATTTGCTGTGCTGTATGGTAAACGTGCGAGGGGTAGACCGAAGCGGAGGTGGGAAGATTGCGTTAAAGCTGATCTGACGGGACTGGGTTTGGACGACGAACGGTGGAGAGAGGTATGTAATAACCGATTGGTCGGCGTCGAATTATTATTATTATTTTATTTGTTAACACTTTTAAAAAAGTTTTTTTTGTTTACTTGAGAGGGAGAGAATCAAATCAAACCATCTCAGGTATGTTCTATTTTAATTTATCTTGGATGTTAAGAAAATTTCTTACGATTCTTATTATTATTATATTATTTATAAGATCGATTCACAAATATATTTATTTCTGTGCATGGTATCTTTGGTTGATAAGAGAATTAATGACTTACGTATTTCCCGTAACTTCAAGTTTCAATTGCCCAGAACGCGACTAGTCGAGACGAACTGACAAAAATTCGTCGCGTTCTGTGTGACTATTGTTAAAACCATTGAATCATAGAACATTCTGGTACAATAACAACAATAGTTTTTATGAGAAAGGTGTACAGGAATAGATGTGTGGTAAGGCACACAAATCCTTTTGAAGTTAAGTGAACTGTACAGAAACTGGACAGAAAAAAAAATTGTGGATTTTAAACTAATAATTAGGCTATATTATGATATATTATTGTACGAGAAAAGGTAGAGCCAAATTTGACACAATTAAGGTTATAGAGTTAATGGAATTTCTTCGGAGAGCAATATTTTGGGATTTTAGCCAGTTGAAAAACACGATGAAAATTAGCTACTGTAGAATATGGTGACAATTGCTGAAAAAGAAAAGAAAAATATCTAAACTTACATATACTAATGTGGAAGTAAATTAAAATGTCTTAAATAAATTAATAAAATTGGATCCACTTTTCCTACCAGGGAACGTAGGCAAATTCATGGTTCAGGGATATCACACAAGAAACTGAGTAAATTATGCTTGCCAGTCTTTGACTCTTGCCTCGTTATAAGTTTCACCTTTTCTCCGGCAGGGTTCGCCCCTCGCAAACGAGCATGCAATGCTAACAGACGTCTGAGCAATCTAGCGAGGCAAAAGTCGACACAAAGGAATTTCGAAAGAGGTTTTTTTCTTCAAAATTGTATCTAATTACTTTGATAAAATGTAATTGTTTTCTATCTCATTAAAATATAAATTTTACTCCGTAAACTTAAAAATCAGATTTTATAAAAATAAAAAAAATAATACATATAAACTTACTTAATAAATCATGTTAAACAAAATGTTATGTATTGTTGTATAATCGTTAATATATACAGTTTTTGTAATTTAATTTATTAACTAAGGAAATTGTATATATTTAATTTGTATACCTGATCTTCATTTCAAATGTTTACGCAATTAAAAAAATATTACTTATAATTCAACAGAAACTTTTTCTAAATTCACATTCAATGGTAAATGTTTATGTATTAAACCCATATTTTTGAAAGAAAAATCTTAACTGAAAGATGTAAAATTTCTTTAATGTTCTAACAATCAAACCAGTACACTTTATTATTAAAAATGGCTAAATTTTCAATGTTTAACGTTAATTTAACTTAAATTTTTTTCGATTGATTCTCCTTTTCCTAATTGCAATGACGTATAAAATAACATTTAATGCCATTTTTCATAAAAATATTTACTATCGGTATTTTGACTTTTGTCCTGCTTGATTGACTAGGACAGCACACCAAGCGTTGATACATATTAAAACTGTATGGATCACTTCTTTTTTGGTACAGTTCATTTCTTTCTAGGAATTTATATACGGTTTTTAATTTGATTTTACTAAGGAATTTATAATAATCTGCCAAATTAAAGAACATTAAGTATTGATTTGTGTGTTATTTCGCATACTTTAAAAAAATAAAATAATCATATTAAAAAGAAATGCGATATTTATATAATTTATTTTTCACCTTTAAAGTTCTATTAATTGACTTCAAAGTCACCCTTTCTTTGTCTTTTTTGATTCTTAATTTGTGTCACAAATATTTCGACTGACGATCTAAAAATAACAAATGGCTAATAAACCCTTTATTAATAACTCTTGTTTGATAAAAACTGTATTGTTCTCCACGTGTGAGCTGACACGGGTAATAAACGTATATATTCTAGGAAAATGCAAGGAAAGAGATATTGTTTGTAAATGTCAATAAATATTATAGCTTCCTCCATAAAGGATGTCACTTTATTAATTCTGGACTATAAAGGGCTGCTTCCACCCCGCTGGTATCACCCAATATGAAGAGGAAATTGTTATCGATTGTGCCATAAAGTCTTCTAATATTTAAAGTCTGTTTGCTATTATTTTTTAAAATATCATTCAGGAATGTTTATTGAACCAATTAATTGACTTATAATTAATGAATATATTGCTCATTATTAATCACATTGAATTAAGTTAATAATAAATATTACGAATTCCAAAACAAGGAAAAAAAAAATTTGAAAATGAGAATAAAAACCCTCTTAATATTGAACAATTTTAGGAATCATACGGATATTAAAAACTATTTTAATATATTAATAAAATAATTATGGATAATATATTAAATATATTAACTTTAATAATTGTGGATTGATTGTTGGCAGTAGTGAATAATTGAAGAGAAAAATTGATTGGGATGTTTAATAAAAAAAAATGTAAAAATCAATAAATTATATTTATTTTTATTTTTGTCTACGTTTCAGCCCGAAGTTCAGACCTCCATCAAGGCTAAGAAAAAAAAAACTGAAAACAATAAATATGAGAAACTATGAACATTAGATAATAAAAGAATAAAATTAAAAAGGTGAAATGTAGTTAGAATAAACTTAAAGTAAAATGAAGTAGATAGAGTGAACATTAAAGTAAAATAAAGTAGGTAGAATAATAACAGTGACAGATAACTAACAGATAAGTATGGACTAATGAAATAAACAAAGTAAAAATAAGGTAACATAAGAAATGAAAAATTTTAATTTCATTAATTCAATTCTACCTATATTTTTAGTCTATACCTTTCACCTTTATAATTTTAATTCTTCATATTTCAATGTTTATAGTTTCTCATACCTATTGTTATCTGGGTTTTTTTCTTAGTTGCCCTCATGAAAGCCTGAACTTCGGGCAGAAACGTCGGCAAATATAAAAATAAATATAATTATTTATTTTTACTATTTTTTTATTTTGACTGATCACCACAACCATCCTTCTCTTCAATTATTCACTACAGCCAATCATCAACCCACAATTATATATTTACTTTAATCTTTGCCAACGTTTCGGCCCAAAGTTCAGGCATTCATCAGGGTTAAGATGTAATATGTAAAATCTATTAAAACTCATATGTAGTCAGTATATTTTTAACTTTTCTTTTTACATTTATTATTTTCTTTGTATAACTTCAAATTCCTTTTCTTTTTTTTACATTTTATTCTATGATTATCTCACTTCCTTTTAGCATACTAAGACATAGTATTTTAGCAAATAAGTCATCCCATTTTTTTTATGTCTACATCTATCTTTTTCATTTCATATATTCCATTACATTTCGTTGTTAATTCATTTTTTATTTCTTATATTACCTTATTTCATTATGTATATTTAATTAGTCTCTAATTTATTGCCATTATTATTTATTTAATAGTTCTGTGTTATTTTTAGTATTTTATTCATAATATCCTAACTTTTTTGCCGCTACTTTCTACCTCTAATTTTGTTATAGTAATTTTATATTAACTTTAAGTTTATTCAACCCACTTCATTTTACTTTTTTATACTATATCTTTCACCTACATATTATTATTTTCTTTTTAATGTTAATAGTTTCATATGCATATTGTTATTTGGTATTTTTTCTTAGCACTGACGAAGGCCTGAACTTTGGGCCGAATAAAATATATCGCTGGCATATGAACAAAAGATGTCGGATTATAGATACCGCGGCAGATTTAGGGAGGAGAGAGTTAGGAAGATATGCTACACACTGACTAGGTTCAAGTTGCGCTGATGAAGTTATCTCAGCGAACAAACAGTTTGTCCCTATCTCTGGCGCAGTAGTTAGTCCTAGCTCCAGCTTGCTCTTGTGGAACAGAAGCCGACAACTCTATTTGAACATAGTTAATTTACAGGGAACTAAGAGGAATTAAGATTAGCTTAAGGCAGCATGTACTGGAGTAAGGCGTAAATACGAATAGATAGCTTTCTCAATATTTATTCAAACCTATCGAGAAAAAAATCTGGTGTGTCCACTCACACGACTTTCCTACCTATTTCAGAAAGGTTTTTATATCCTTACATATGTACATGAAGAAACCTTTCTGTGACAGATAATGCAAATCTCTTAATTCCGTTTTAGTAAACTTTGCAAAGGAAGAACAGTTTAATAACTAATAGACGTACAATCCATCCATAATCAACGTATCGTGCAATCCATAATAAACAGATCGTACAGTCCATAATCAACAGATCGTACCATCTATAATCAACCGATGATATAATAAATAAAACTTTTGTTATTTTAATGGTGTTTATGTTTTGTTAGCTGTAATTTTTTAGCTTTAGCTCAGTTAAAAATGCAATTCAAAAATTTTATAATACCCCAACATGATCAGAAATTAATTTCTATTCAAAGTTGAGCTGTTGCACTCACCAGATTTTTGTACATAGAGTGTGAGCATGCTCACTGAGCAGTATTATACCTTCAACGCCCTTCTAAATATTTTCCTGTGTGTATCCAAAACTCATGGAGTTTTGCCTATTCCACTCGACTTATCCGTATGTGATTTTTAATGTTAGGTGTATGTGGTGATAGGGCCAGGGGCGTGATAATCCTGGATGTATATATATTGTCGGGCAGATGGCTCCCTCTTTGTGGTCGGTGATCCGTCTTCTTCGACGCCAGCGGACATTGTGCTGTTTTTGTTGTGGTGGTAGCGGATCGGGGGCACATGGCAGGCCTGTATGATAATGATAACGCGAGCTGTCGAAACATCTGCCCGCAGAGAGTGAGCAGGCTGCCGGGCTTCCTGATAGATTTATAGATTAAACCGATTCAGGACAAAAGACTGAACATGCTCTTTTACTAGAAATCCCCACAAAATGTAGTCTGGTTAGTGTTGGATGGCATTTTTTTTTCGACTTCATTAGTTTTAAGAATATGTAATCGATTGAATTGATTTACTATTTTCTTGGTTATTTACTTATGTAAAGCACGTTATAAGTACCGAATATGCGCGAAAAGATATATACGTCTTAGCTTATGCGGATAATTCGGTACATACATACAAAGAACAAGGATTCGAAGTAAATACATATATTAAGCTACTGTAGCTTAAATTTTACAAATCTGTATTTTTTATTGCGGTTTTCGACGGATCTATACGTTTCAGAGCTCTCTGAGTCCGAAAAACACATTTTTAGCCATTGGTCTGTCTTGTCTGTCTGTGCCGAGATTTTCTCGAGAACTACTGAACCGATTTTGTACCTATACAAAAGGAAGAAGTAAACACAAGTGGGAAATATCCTTGGAATAGAACTTGCCTAATTCTAATGTATTGAATAACAATAAAAAAAAACTGCATAAACTGTAGACAGATATTTATGGTTATTTTTTACTTTCCTAGCTATACTAGGTAAGGAAATTATTGCAATCGGGCCAAATTTCCCGACATGCGGTTTTCGACAGATCTATACATTTCAGAGCCCCCTCAGTTTGAAACACAAATTTTTAGCCATTAGTTTGTCTGTCTGTACCAAGATTTTCTGGGGAACTACAGAACCGATTTTGTTGTTTCATTTTTTATTTTGTAGGGTTTTAACTACTGATGCCTGTGACAGAAATTCGAAGCTCCATGCGCAATAGCTTGCGTGCAATAAATGAAAAACATGTTATTTTGAAATCCCTCCGTTTAGCCTGTTGTTTGAATGGTGATGAAATTCTCTACAAAGCCATATAAAAATCGTTCATTTTGGCCAACTATTAACGAAGTTACAGCTATTCAATTTCTAATATAAGTTTTTCATCAGCAATATTAGTGAAAATTGAAATTTTTACACTGATCTACCTTAAGCCGGTTTACATTGCTTTAGTTTATCAAATAAACCGTACTCAAATCTTATGTTTGATCAATTTTCAGGAAAATGTATCTAGTTCAATTCTTTTTTGTTTCATCATGAACATATGTAAAGATATAAAAACTTTTCTGAGATAGGTTGGAAAGTCGTGTGAGTGGACACACCGGATATTTTTTACTTGAATTGTCATTCATTCTATAGCCATTCATTATGTCTGGATTTTGACTGAATTGTAGCAATTTCATTATCATTAAAAATGAAAAAAAGCACGTTTTCCGGATTTTCATTGCATTAAGCTCCGGTCTTTAGTTTTAAAATTGTGCGGTGTATAATATTTTGTTAATCCAGCGAGGTATACATTAAAATAAAATCTCCTTCCGTTGTTCTCCTTAAATGGATCGATCCGAGCTGGCCGGTATCTATACTCCCATATCCGGAGGGAATTGCGAATCAGTATCGGAGTTGCGGTGCAGGTCACGTAGCGGTGGTAGACAGTAACGCTTCCTGACTGCTGGTGGCTGGCTATATTGCTGTTGGGGAGGTGGGGTGGTCAGCTTATTGAGCTAGCGTTCCCGATCTGTTGGGGTATCTGACAGCCTCCTCTAACGAATTTCATCAAGGATATCGGTCATTCCTTGAGATAGTCTGTTAATTTCAGAAAGGAACACTCCATTTCTTCCGAAGGGCTGATAATTCTGGACAGAACCTATCTATATGTTCTCGATTGCTTCCATTAGGCTGCGTTCTTGATAAAAATACACATATATATATTCTAGGGTCTGTGTCTGTGAATATCCATACACATATTCATTTTTTGTTGATATTGCAGCAGATTATTCAATTTATAAACTACTATACAAAAAGGAGAAGGAGTTAATTGGGGGAGTGCGGTCAAATAAATACTAAATTAAAATATAGTATTTATTTAATTTTTGCCGACGTTTCGACCCACTTTGCAGGTCGTCTTCAGGGCTATAAAAGATACAAAACATGTTGAAAATACAAAATAAGAAGAAGTTGTCAGATACAAAAATAAAAAGATGATATCAGAGATATAGTGGGTTACAATCTAGTTAAAATATTAAGTATTATATATGTAGAAGATACAAAGAAATTGAAAATAAGTATGAATAAAAAAAAAAATAAATAAAGGAGAATACATCATGTAAGTAAAAGTAAACAGATTGCGATAAAAGATAAGGAATAAGTGTATAACAAACTATAGAGATTACATTAGATAACTGTGGGTTAACAGATATAGAAAATGAATATTAACGAATAAATAGATTGAAAATTGAATAAGTATTGTTATAGTAAAGTTAAAATAAGAATAAGATAAAATAATAATAAGATATCAGTGGATAACAAGCTAGTGGAGGTTACATTTGATAACTGTAGGTAAAACAGATAACGGGAATAAAGTTTAAGAAGTAAAAAAATTGAAAGATTAATAGGGTAACATTAGTGTAATATCGTTAGGATAGATTATTAAGTATAAATAACTCCATAAAAAAACAATAATTTTAAAAGAGAACTTTAGAATGTAAGTATAAATGTAAAACAAGGTTATGATGATAAAAAAAAAAAACAAAAAAAAAAACACAAGTTGTACTATATATATATATATATATATATATATATGACAATTGACATTCAGTTTTTTGAAAGTGGTAATGGAATAGTAGGCTGCATGAAGATAATAATAAGGTGTATAGTTGAAGGATAGGTGTGTTAAGAAAAGAATCACAATAAAAGTCAAAACATACCGTAGGATGTGGCACTGCGGGAGGCAGTTGAAACACTGGCAGCGTCAAAAAAAGCTCTAGTAAGCAGTGTCAGAAAAAAAAAAAAAAAAAAAGGCTTTAGTAAAAATAAATACATACATACACACACACTATAAAAAAATATTTAAAAATCGCAATATCTCTACTATAGTGCTTTGATTTCGATGAAATCTCTTTCATTTTTTAGGAAATCTAAATACCTTTGAAACATTTTATCACAACATTCCAAAAAAAAGTGTATACTTTTTTAGTTATTCGGAATTTAATTTTACCACCCCTCGTAACTTTTTTTCCAGCTTCTTTGAAGTATGTTATATAGATAAATTTAAAGGTTGTCAAGAAACTGACTTTAGCGAAGCTTCATTGAAATCGGTACATTCGTTTAGGCGCAGCGTTTAGCAACGCAGGTTTTTCTGCATTTTTTTTCTCCTTTATTAACTTATCAAATTATTTTAAAAGGTATATTTAGCATTTTTTCGTAACTCTGAATAATGTGAAATGATTAACTATTTAAAATAAACCACATTAAAGGTACTTTAGAGGAAGACGTATATGAACATTGGGCATACCGAGTTTAATCAAAATCGTTTGAGCCGTTCTTGAGAAAATTGTGAAAATGTGTTTCAGCGTTGATATAAAGTGGCACTTCCGATTAGCCGATTTTAAGGAAAAAATCGCCACCACATCTAAGACATTTATCTATCTTAAATACGTAATATCAGTTTCGTTTTTGAGCTAGACTGCTAAGGTACAAACACACAGACACCCAGACCATTTTTCGGGACTATGTCATTCCGACTCAGGGTACCTCAAAACGTGTATTTCCAGACTAGAAACAAGAAATTAATTTAAGATAAATTACAACTCTAATCTGAGCCCCACTACTCTTTATTCCTCATTTATAGTTACTTTTTTTAATACCCTCAATTAAATAAAAGTTAACTTTTTACTATAAACACAGAACTTTCTTTAGAACTCATACTTTAAGAACTTTTTTCTAAAATTTTGCACAGAAACTGTTAAATAGGAACTTTTAAAATTTCCACGGATTATGAGTTTATTTTTCAATTCTCAAAGGGTACACAACGTTGTTAATATCTCTTCAAACACAGAGAAATTTGTACTAACCTTTATTATATTATTTTTTGCAAAAGAAAACTGCAGTTGAAGCGCAAAAAACGTTTGTGGAAATCTACGACAATCATTCTCTATCAGAAAGAATAGGTAGATAATGGTTTAAACGGTTTTTAAAAAATGATTTTGATCCCGGAGATGATCATCACTGGAGATCACTATAGAATGCAACTGATGCGTTTGAGGCAAGCTCTGAACCCAAATAAAATAAAAAATTAGTAGATGACTGAATTCCCTCAAAAGACATTTGGTTTTTCAATGTGGTATCCGTATGTTAGCTGACAGATGGGAGAAAGTAGTGACTAGCACTCGTATAATAAAAATATATAAACTCCTTCGAAGCAAAGAGATAGAAATGAACAAAAAGTAAGTTATAAGTAAAAGATGGTTTTATAGCTAAACTTGTTCTGTAATTGGAATGTTTGTTTATTTGCACTGCCTTTTTATAAACCCTTTAATGTTTCTTAAGTCACTGTTTCAGTTAAAACCTATTTTCACCATATTTAAAAATGTTTTAAATTATTCTGCGAATATTGCATATAAAATGCACTTATATTGCATATTGTTCTTGTATTCAATAGTTCACTCTTGGGTTGTCGGAGACCCTTTTTATGAAAAGACAATAGTTTTAAGGTATGGAACTCACGTATAACCTGAATTAGGTAAAATATATTACTCATATAATCTTAGTATTTTTAAAAATATGTTGAAAATTTTAGAAATTTTATTTAGTTTAAAAGGGACTCTTATTTTTGTCTCACTTCAACTTCAAATAGAAGGTCGCTGGTAATTAATAAAGATATTATTAATTACTAGCAACCTCCTAGACCCAACAATAACACTGAAGATATTCCGAATAAAATAGCACACCTCTCTGAGAATCCTATAATCTATGGATCAGCCAACATTCCCCCTCTCCATTCCCTCAGTGAGATTGGTTCATGGCTCATAGAGCATTAATGGACTATTTATTTCAGAATTAGCTGATGCAGCAGCCGCTTAGTTAACTCTGATAAGTTATAGGCCATAGATTTTTGTCTTATTGAATGTCTCTTGATCTGTTTATTGCCTCTGTAGTCGGGTCCGTTTCTGTCTTAAGTCTTTAGTAATTGAAAAAAAAATGTCCAATTTCTTTATTCCAGATTGAAGAGATTGCAATTGGATGATATATATGTTACTTCCCAGCTTTCCACCGAATTTGAGTTGATAGAACAAGCCGTCTTCGAATTACAAGAATGTCATACACTTTAAACTTCTATATTAATAAGGTTCTAATTGACGAATAGTTACTGATTTAAAAGACAATCCTGAAATATACTTGGAGCTAGGGACTACAACTATGGTGGACAGAAAAAATTTCTATCAAATTCATCCAATCCTTTCAGTCCAAAGTCCGTCGAACAATAGTCGATGTTCCGTTCAACGTAACCAAGAAAACCTTACACCATGAAGTCAATAATCCATTTTTCTTAAAGCTTACCCCATAAAAATTCCTCGAATTTCACCAGAACCTTACGTATCATCCGAATTCCCTTTCAGAATCCTGGCTTAAGCGCTCTCACTCATTCTTTTCACTTGCTTTAGCACCAGTGATTCGGTTGATAAAGTACCGAAGAGATCTCCTAGAGTCCTTCTTTTCTCTCCATAATTGGAGTTTTGGGCTGGCTTGGAGTTTTCTAGCCCAATTGTAAATAGTGTATATAAGTATGTCTGTTTTGCTTTTTTTTTTAAATATTTATCTTTAAGTTATTTTATTTTTAAATACTATATATACTTTTTGATTATTATTTAGTTGTTAATTTGCTTCTGTTTATTTTATATTTCTGTACACATAATGTGAATGTGGTCTTACCTCACTATAATTACTGTGACAAAATCTTAAGTATCTTCCTATTTATCTTTATGTTGTATATGGTAATTTTGTTTAAATTTTCTCTTTTTAGATTTTTTTGCTGCTTTTTAAAAAAATCCAACCTAACCCCTTCACTTGAGCTAGCATGGTGTCATAAATGTTTTATTATTGCCAATAATGGGTAAGTCCTTGTATTTATCTCTTTAGAGATTACAGGCGAAAAAAACCAGGCGCCCAACTAGTTAAAATTTCAATAGAAATTTGTCTTAGTAGAAATTACTGTATTATCTTTTTACTTATTCGTTTTTTTGTTCAAAATTAATAAAGAAGTGTATCACATAATCTTATAAATAAAAAAAAAAAACGAGAAACAGCATTTTAAGATGTTGAGGTTTTAATTGAAATTTACCCACACTTCTGCAAAATTTGGTTGTTTGAAAACGATACATAATGAATTTCAGCTTATTTGATCCCAGGAGAGACTAAGTGCCCAAATGGGTCAAAACAAAATAACACAGAAAAAAAACAAAAAAAAAAACGGAAGACATTTCCGAAATTCACATAATTGTATTTTAAAAATTATGAATACTCCCCTTTTCCCCCCAAAATATTATAGAACAATCAAAAAGCTGCTTGTAGAACATAGAAGGAATAAAAGAATGTAACGTCATTTTTTAAATATTTAAAACTAAAATAAAAACATTTTAAAGAAATTGGTATACATAAATGTATCCTTTTGATACAAATCAGGGATTCAAATGAAATTTTAACTTTTATTTTCAATCTGTTTCCATATGATTGGAATCTCTTTTTTTATTTTTTTTTTAAATCTATTTTTTCGGATCTAGAACTTTTTTCTGGTAAATGTTTTAAAGAACACTGTTGATAACGTAAAAAAATCCATCTAAAAAATTACTTTTGTTCTTATCAACTCTAAGTCATTACAACTCTAAGCCCAATTATAGTTAATTTCTCATTTACTAACATAACATTTTTTAAAAACTTAAATTAATAAAACATAAACTTTGGCTATAAACATAGAATTTCATTACGAAAAAGTTCCTCTTATTTTAACATTTTTTTAAAGTTTCAAGGCTGATACAAATATAGCTAAGATACCAACTTAGTCGAGTATAAATAACTTCAATTACCACGAATATCTTCGCTGAAGGACGAACTGGACCGAACTGATCCGAATGACCCAGATAGCGGATTGAACACAAGAGTAGAAGACAATCAGTATTCTGGAGAGGCTGGCTCTGGAGATGTGGAGGCTCCAGTCAGGGCCAACTTGTTAGTGGCTAACTCCTCTAATCGCAACGCTTGTCTTCTTTTATCATGACTCTTTGTAAGGGAACTTTTTTGAACAACAGTTATATATATATATATATATATATATATATATATATATATATATATATATATATATATATATATATATATATAGAGAGAGAGAGAGAGAGAGAGAGAGAGAGAGCTAAATAATTAAATATTACCTGATACCTGATTTTTATTTATGTATATATATATATATATATGTATAGGACGGAAAACAAAACAGTCAAATATATTACTAATATTAAAAGTAGAACATTCATAAAACAAAGGTTCAACAACTTGTTAACAAGGGACCGTATAGGACGATCTGTAGAAAAGGGCAAACAGCAGGCGATATTGTCGTCTTATGCTAACTTCATATTGATATTTATGAGCGCTAATATTATTATGTAGAACTACAAATGGGAAATAGAACAGTGAATCCGCCGTAAAGGACTGAGGTAGACTCTCTATGTTGATGAAGTCCATGGGCTTAAAACATAGCACTCCTTAAGGCTACAAAACACTCACTATAATGTACATCATAACAATCGATCTTTACAACACAACATTACAAACTAACTGCTGATTTCATTTTTCTTTGTTGTTTTTTTAATATAATTATTTTACAAAAGTTTTTATTGTTGTTGTTAATTTTATTATTTTATTGCTTTACCTAGCCTGATGAAGGTCTGAAAAAAAAACCGAAACCGGTTGCGCGAAAAATAAATGAAGTATACAGGAAGACATCTTTTTTATTTTATAATTTTTTTTTTGTAAAATTAATTTTAAATTCTGTAACATCAAACCACAATCAAATGACTAATTTATCTTATTTGGGTATTCTGTGAATTGCTAACTAAACTTTATTTAGAGAGAGTTCGTCGGCCAGCTCGTGTAGATAAACGCTGTTAATAACTAGCCACGGCGGAGGGAGGATGTTGATAAAACAGTGGATACGAGGACACTGTTCCAGAACATAAATCCTTTGGGACTGGATGCAGCGGCTGGAGGAGGAATGCCCGCCATTCCAGTGGGGCCCATAACTCACGTCCAGCTCCAGGAATTAAGAAGGGACCCTCAGGCTAACAGCTTTCATAATTATCTCTCTTGCCCCATCCGATGCTGCGACTCGAGGGTGCACTGAACTTACTATACATTCTGGGGATGTTTAGCGGGGGTTCCTGAAAACTTCTCAACTCCATGTGTTATTGATAACTCGACTTAATTTAAAGCAAGAACCTTCTCGTATGTCTACACCATATATAATAATAATAATAATGAAAAATAACTTTATTCTGGGACAAAGTCCCTTTAGAATAATAAAATAGAACATAAATAAAGACTACATCTGGCCAAAATAAAACAATAATAAAAAAAGAGAAAGTAAAGAAAATATTAGTTAAACAAGCTATATGCAAAAAAATGATCTGTATACAAAACACTTAAAACTATGACAAAAGACTTAAAACTATGTACAGTAGGAAAAATTATAATTATATACTTTTGAAAAATAAAATAATAAAAAATACTTCGAGTTCTTCTTTAAAATGCGATGTGTTTCTGCTAACAAAGAAAAGACAAAGCTGACAATATAAAATGTCAGTGTATTTAAATAATGAATAATATGTAGACTCATCATTGTCTAATTCTAGCTATAGGTACAGATTTAATTATATAAGAATAAAAAAACAAACAATAGATGCATTCAGTGGCATTAAGATCAGGAAGATATTGCAATATCAATAGTGAAGTTTACAGTATAGAATAGTACTATCGTTTGATGATGAATGCTATAATAAAAATGTATAATATCAAAAGTTTAGCAAGCATCTGACTGTTTTTGGGATAGGAATTGGAATAGGAGGGTTTTGAATATATATATGGAGGGGGAATGCCGAATTTTGATAGGTAGAGAATTCCAGAAATTGACAGCGCGAGCTATAAAAGAGTTTTGAAATGAGGCATATCTGTAAGAAGAGGTGTAGATTTCAGATCTTTTTAAAAGGGAATGGACTGAGGACTTGAATTGGAGAAGGTTGTTGGCGTAAGAAGGACGATGGTTGTTGATGATTTGATAAAGGAACGTACCTAGAAAATATTGTCTTCGAAAGTAGGGGAAAAGCCACCTTAACTCAGTGCAGTGGTGAGAGACATGGGAGTACCTCGGGGCACCGATAACAAATCTTACGCAGCTATTCATTAATCTTTTCAGTCTATCACGGAGCTCCACCGAGATGCCATCATACACAGCTGTAGTCAAAGTGGGGAAAGATGATATAGGAAATTAGGAGTCTACGGGTATGTTGAGGTAAGAGATGACGGCAGTGATGAAATAGTTTATATAGATACATAGAAAATAGAATATATATCTATTATTTACGTATATATGGAAAAGATAAATTCAAGAAAATTTAAATTCGAGTTCTAAAAAAATAACAGAAACTATTAAGAATACAATGCTACTGATTTTTATATCCTCTTTCACAGAAAAACTTCCTTAAGAAGATTCATTCTTGACTCCTTGCTCATGAATTTCTAATTATTTTCTACTCCTGAACTCTTACGTTTTAGCATTTTGATTCATTTATATATAATATATTCAAGTAAAAATAATAAAAAAATTTACCACATTTTGGCAATATATTTCCCGTTTCGATCCTGAAGTTATTGGCCTAATTCTCTTTAAATTATCGCCCTTTTTTTAAAGTAGCGGCTCTAGAATGGCAGACAAGTTTCATTTTATTTAGCATAACATAATTTTTTATAATTTGCATTTAAAACAAACCCTGTAGTCACACATTTCAGCCACTGAAAAATGTTGTGCAGATTGGAGAATTAAAATTAATCCAAACAAATCCCAACAAATTACTTATACCCATTGCCGTAAACCTACAACATCCGGTCCCACCATATCATTTAATAATATTCCACTGATCCCTGTCAACTTCCGTTACCTTCGACTCCTTCTTGACAAATGCCTTACCTCCAATCCTCATACTAGACCTAAAAGACAAGAAACCTCCAACAGATTCCGACTACTACAACACTTACTTGACAAACGCTCTGAACTTCCAATATTCTACAAAAAAGACTCATTTACACTACCATCATCAGGCCCATTTGGACATATGGTATTGAGCTTCGAGGCTCAATAAAAACATCAAATTCTTCCCGTATCCTATCCTTACTATCCAAAATCCTAAATCCTCCTTATTATGTAACAAATAGAATTATCCATAAACACCTCAAAAGTTCTCTTGTTGAAGACTTGGCCCGAACTAGATATACCTCTTTTCATTCCAAACTCTTCGGTCACCCTAATCCTCTAGTTTGTAACCTTTCATAAAACCTTACAATAATTCCGAGGGGTCTGAAAAGAAGATGGCCAAGGGGACCTCCTGAATTAATTTATCTTTGAAGTGTTACCAATGAGTAGCTTCTTCACAAGTACCTTCATGTGACATATTCCTATAGCAGCATTACTGGTTGTAGTATGTATACAGTTATAAATTTCAATAAAAAAATATAAATAAGACAAAATTTAAAATTCCTCCTCAATGTGGTATTTTTTTGTTGGGCCCTGGCTCATTGCCTGAACTCCATGTATACACATTTACAGAAGAAAAAAATAATAATGTTGCGGATTCAGACATTAACTTGGATATAGATTACCATATTGGTGTGTTGTATGATTAAAACAGTTCAAAATAAAAGAAACTTATTAACTATAAAGCTGTTTTGGAGATACATTTTTTATTTTTAAGTTTTTTCTTCGAGATCTGGGACTCCACTAAACCATCCTCTCATATTCAATCCCTACAATCTAAAATCCTTAATGCTCCCTACTTTGTCAAAAATAAAATCATCCATAATGACCTTAATGTACCATATGTTTCCGATTTAGCTCAATCCAGTTACCTGTACTTTCATAATAAACTTCTGAACCATCCGAACCCTCTTGTTTCCAACCTTGCTTCCTCTTCTATTCCTGATAACCCTCCGAGGCGTCTGAAAAGCAGATGGCCTCGGGATCGTTTAATAAGGAAATAAAATTGGAGCTCTACCAATGGGTAGTTTCTCTTCATGTTGTACATGTCATATTACTTGTTCATATTTGCTTGTTGTATTTAATTTAAAGCAGTTGTAAATTTCTTTAATAATAAAAAAATAAAATAAACTTTCTTTTATAAAAAAAAAAATCAATGTTTCGTGTCGAATCTTTTCATTCCTAATTACTGTCTTTAGCAGTTCGGAGGGTTAACATGAAATGCACTTAGTACTTCAGATAATTCTATTTGTGCATTAACGGTTAAAGCATTTTAAGTGCAAACATAAATAACAATATTTTTTTTTTAGTTGAATCCTGGTTTTGTTGTCGAGACATCCATTAAGCAAATTATCAAAAAAAAAAAAAAAAAAAAGAAATTAGTTAATTACCAACGAAGAGAGGGAGGGGCCTTTGGTTCGATCACTTGACAACTCCGTGTCAGCTTCAATTTGCCTAAATTAACATCCAAAAGGTTTCCGGCCCATCCCACCCTCGCCCTATCGGTGGGAGTACAACCATCTACTGCTATCAAAGCCTTTGATACAGTGTGGTGTGGCAACCAGTGATGGGAGTATCAATTTGTTCGGATTGCTTCAGTATGAGTTGTGAATGTATTAATTATCAGTTTTTATGGCGGATGTTGGGGTCAGGGGTACTTCAAATTAAAATACAAACCTTTCCCCGGTGAGTTTCCTCAAAGGTGAGGAAAATCCGAGCAAAATTAAATGGTGAGAAAAAATAATGAATATGAGACCTGTAAAACATTAAAGGAAAAACACATGCACAAGCAATACCAAATAAAATTACTCAATTAATTAAAAATGTTAAGATAAGTAAATAAAAAAAAATTTCCTTCTAAATGTTTACAATTTATTGAATAAAAAAAAGAGATATAAATTTATACAAAAGTTGAAATAAACATTGATGAAAAGTTACTAGAAAACATAAATACTATATCCAGAGAAAATAAAAACAAATTAAACATTATGAAAAAAATATAAATAAAATCAACTTCTAAAATTATAAAGAAAAACCAAGAGAAACAAATACTGTTAAAAAGAATAAAACTAATTTATGGGGGCAACAAAAATAAATGAATGTTCAAATATCTCTTGGTGATGGTGGGAGTAAAAAAACCGAGCCAAGTTGGAGGTTCTGCTTCCAACGAGGTTACCTTGTACAGCTAATGACAACAGCTGTCGATGGTGGGGGAATCGATATTTATATCGATCTCGATCGAGAACTCGCTATGATACTGCTGGGTGAAAATGGCGGGGGTAGACGTCCAACACGTGGGTCCAACCTAAACGAAGGATTGCTCTAGATTGACTCTCCGGCAGTATCATCGCATTATTTTGATGTGTTAATCCCTAATACTGGGTATTACTGCCGGACTGGTGCATATAAATAAGCGATAAAGATCGTGTATAACACCCAATATTTAAATAATATACACTGAGATACATTATAAGAAAAATTGTCCCTCAAACTTTTACAAATAAATAAATAAACATTTTATTTAATTAAAATTAAAAAAAAAGGGATGATGAGAAAAATAATAATGGAAAAAATTAAAGATATGTGTGTATGTGGCGTTAACAGCGGGTTTTATCATAAATTAATCCGCTTTCATTTGTTTAAAAAAAAAAAAGAACAAGAGGAAAATAGGTTCTGCTGCTTACGCTTTTTGTATGTATATATATATCGATATTATAAATTTGAGGTCGATTTATTATGCTTTGTATTTCTATATTATTTTTCAAATTGGATTATTTACTGTAGGGACAATACATCCTTATTCCTCGAACAAAGTTCTTTCTCCGCCGGAGTAAGATACTGCACCTTATGGAGAGGGGGGGGGGGAGCATCCAGCTGGTCTTTGGAGATAGGGGAGGGGGAATTTTATTATGCATTGTCCCCAAATCCCCGGAATTGAAAAAAAGCCGTGAGGGTGGCGGAGACATGAGAAACAGAGGAAGAAGGACAAAAAAACTCTATTTCCAGATGCCGTAGCTATCCTTTGATCCTCCAGGAATGGCCCCTATTTCAGAAGAGATCCTCTCTCCTCTAGTCCCCTCCTACCTCCAATTGGTTTA